CGTTGTCATATATTCTCGTCTGTTACAATCATAAAGCAAAAAGCTAGTAATAGATAGTTTCAACTGTTAATTATATGTATAAATACTATAGTTTTAAATATTGGTACCGTTAAAATCTTGATTACACAAAAATTAAACGAGGCTTACAAATCGCTCGTAGGCGTGAACATGGCCGGCGAAGACAATGCCGACCTTCGCATCAAAGAGGAGCTTCTCGACATTCTTTCTCATTCCCTCTCCCTCCCTCTGGTGCGCGTCGTTCGTGTTATGCCACGGCGCATGAACAATCTCCAAAAGCCAGGGCTTCTTCGTCCTGTCAAGCTTTGCAAGATCCGCCTTCAACCACTTGTACTGCTGAGACTTAAAGCCATATTCAGTATAGGAGCCGAGCATGAGCACGTGAGCTTCACCGCCGGCGACATCGAAGGAGTAAAAGAGGTTGGAGGTGGAGGAGCTCTGTTCAAATGGCATGCGCCAACGAGCGTTGTAGGCGGCAAAGGGGCGGATGCGAAAGATGGGGAAAAGGGATTCGACCTCGTGGTTGCCTTGGGTGACCATCCATGGCCGGCGGGAGGCTTGGGGTTGTACGAGGAGGGCGAAGGAGTCCCAGAGTGGCTGTTGGGAGTCGGTGTAGGAGAGGTCGCCGGCGAGGAGTAGAATGTCGTAGTCTGAGTAGTTTATGTGCGAGAGAGTGGAGGCTGTCCATGAAAGAGTACACGGATAGAGCGCTGGAGAAGAAGACAGGGGAAGCAAGAATACAAGAAGAGAGGGAAAAATCTATTTCAAATTATAACAGAGTATTACAGGCTTATTTATACAAAATGATATGTTACTGTGTACAGTAATCTAGAGTACACCGTAAGCATAAGGTAATCCTTTCTCTAATATCCTCCCTAAAATTAAGCATTCTTATGTTGAATGATTAATTTGTCGCGAAGGAAATCAAAGCATGAGCTAGAGAAAGGTTTGGTAAGAATGTCGGCCGTCTGATCATGAGATGGTATGTGTTGAATGTGGATGTTGCCCGATGCGATGTGCTGCCGAATGAACTGGTAATCAATTTCTATGTGTTTGTTCCAAGCATGAAAAATCAGATTCTTGGCTATAGCGATTCCTGAGATGTTGTCGCAATGTATAATTGTGGGAAATGGTTGTTCAAGCTAAAATTCTGCAGCGAGGCGACAAAGCTAGAGGACCTCTGAAGTGGCTGCGGATAGAGCACGGTATTCTGCCTCTGTAGACGATTTTGTCACAGTAACCTGTTTCTTGACAGACCAAGAGATTAGGTTTGGGCCGAGGAACGTACAAGTGCTGGAGATGGACTTACGGTCCGTGGTATCGGATGCCCAATCAACATCCGTGTATGTTTGAAGAGCAGTGTCGCCAGGAACAATGGGCAGGCCAAAAGATTTTGTTCCATTGATGTAGCGTAGAATGCGTTTGAGCTGACTGAAGTCAGCTGTGGTCGGATTCTGCATTTGTTGGCAAACTTGATTTGTGGCGTATGTGATGTCTGGGTGAGTTATGGTGAGGTATTGGAGCGAGCCGGCGAGACGTCGGTACATGGACGGATCGTGAAATGGTTCAGAATTTTGTTGTGGATGTCTGGAGGTTGGTGTAATGGGAGTCGGCCACGCCTTGCTGTTGTTGAAGCCGGCTTCCTACAGCAGCCTTGATGTATAGTGTCTTGGTGCAGAAAGAACCCAGAGGCAGTTCGCGTTATTTGAATGCCGAGGAACAAGTTGATTTGTCCTAGTTTCTTAAGTGTGAACTGAGATTGAAGATCGGCAAGAAGATCGTTGATGGTTGTGGTATTGTTTCATGTAATCAGGATATCGTCCACATAGATTAGTATGTAGATAAATATATGTTGATTGTTATAGACAAGGAGAGAGGGATCAGAGTGGCTAAACCTGAAACCACGAGTTTTAAGAAATGCTGTGATTTTCTGGAACCATTGCCATGGTGCTTGTTTGAGCTCGTAGAGGGATTTGTGGAGCTTGCAGACGGCAATGGGTTGAGCTGGATCTTCAAAGCCTTGAGGTTGATTCATGTAGATGTCATCCGGTAAGTCGCCGTGGAGAAACAGATTAGAGACATCGAGTTGAAGGCCCGGCCAATTCTTGTTGACTGCAAGGGAGAGAAGCATGTGAATAGTAGTCATTTTATCTACAGGACTGAATGTCTCCGTGTAGTTTTAGCCTAGAATTTGGTCGTAGCCGAGAGCGACTAGTCTGGCTTTGTAACGGTCGACCTGTCCTGACGGCAGCAGTTTCGTCTTGTAAGTCCACTTACATCCGAGAACCCATTTGTTGGAAGGTTTTGGAACGAGTATCCAAGTCCTCTGTTTTTGCAGATCCTGATATTCTGCTGCCATTGCTTCTTGTCAGTGAGGTATTTTGGAAGCCTGATTGTATGTTGTAGGGGTATTAAGAATGTTGTCACTGCTCAGAAGAGACAGGATTTGGCGCGGTTTGGAAATGCCAGATTTGGAGCGGGTTTGCATCGGGTGTTAATGAAATTCAACTGGATGAGAACAATGTGTGGCGGGTTGGGAGGCATGATCGACGCTTGGAGGAGGCGGTAGATGATCAATGCGCTAGAAAGGAGGATTAGTGGTATAGGTGGTATTGGTTGTAGCAGGGGAATGAGAGACGGCGAAAACGGGAACAAGGAGAAGAGGCGAGGGATGACTGGTGGTTGGCTGAGATGTGGTTGTAGTGTTTTGTGATTGCGGACGGAGCGGGAAAATGGATTCTTGAAAGACAACGTGTCTGGAGATGTGAACTTTTTGAGAGTTTAAGTTGTAGCACTTGTAACCTTTGTGATGAGGGGAGTAGCCTAGGAAAATGCACGGTTGAGAGCGTGGGGCGAGTTTGTTGTTGGTGTAGGGGCAAAGCCACGGGTAACATAGACACTAGAAAGTCCGTAAATGGGAGTAGTCCGGGATGTTGTTGAGCAGCATTTGGTGTGGTGATTTGAGGGACAGCACAATAGTCGGAAGACAATTTATCAGGTAGTTTGCCGTCGAGACGGCATCGGCCTAGAATTGGTCGGGGAGACTGGAGGCAATCAGGAGTGTACGTGTGAGTTCAAGTAGATGTCTGTGTTTCCGCTCGGATAGGCCGTTTTGCTCAGGCATATGAGGACAGCTTAGTTGATGTGTTATGCCTTGACTGTTCAGATATGCTGTAAACTCTTTGCTTACAAACTCACCTCCTCTGCTTTGGTGTAGCCGAGAATTGGTTATGTATAAAGCTGCAGAATAACTTGAATTTTGCAAATGTTTCATGCTTATGATACATGAAATAAACCCATGAAAATCACATAAAATCATCAATAAACACAACATAGTAATGAAAGCCATTTAACGATGATTGCGTAGATGGTCCCCAAACATCCGAATGAATGAGTTCGAACAGATGGGAGGTAGTAGTAATGCTTTTGTTAAACGAGTTTTTATGGCTTTTAGCCATTTTACAAAATTCACAGTGAAAGTCTGAAGAAATTTGTTTAAAACCAGAAATACAGTGAGCTAAATTGTTAAAAACTTTGCTATTTGGGTGGCCGAGCGGACGTGCCAGGTGGCCGTGCCAGGTGGCAGTGAGAGTGGTGGCAGCCTGAAGAGCGGTTGTCGACTTGGCTGGAGCTATGTGAATTTTGTAGATGCCATCAATTAGGCGTCCACGAAGGAGAAGTTGCTGGTCCTGTAAGTCCTTAATTTCAAAACCATTAGAGTCGAATATGATTGAAACCGAGTTATCTGAGGTTAGTTTTGAAACCGAAAAAAGATTGTGTGTGAGTGCTGGAACATGTAGTAAATTGCAGAGATGAAGCTTACGCGACGAATCAAGCAAGGGAAGAATTCCTTGGTCGTAGTTCAGAATTGGTATTGTCGTGCCGTTAGCCACCGAGACTGAGTCTTGACCTCGGTAAGAAGAGGGAAATTGAATGTTTGTGCCGTCCGACGTCATGTGTGAAGAAGCTCCGGAGTCAAGAACCCAAGTTTGAGGTGCCGTCGGGTTCGGTTGAGCAAGAAGTGCTCGAGGAGCAGCGGACATGGGCGGGGCGTAGGATAGGTTGCAGCAATGCCAGCAGTTGTTTGCTGTGTGTCCTATCTTGCTGCAAATTTGACAGGTTGGACGAGAGCTGGCGGCAGGAGGCTGGTAAGTAGATTGTTCGGAGATGACCTGGTTGCGAGTACCGTTGTTACGGTATTTTGAAGAACGCTTTGGGTTCTTGTTCCAAGTCTGATTTTGAGGATTGGCGTAATATGTCGCAGTGGTCGAGAGTTGATCATTCTTGATTTCTTGATTAATGTGGATCTCCTCGCTGCAGAGAAGAGAGTAGAGGGCGTCTATATCTGCCGAAAGAGAGGATGCTCGTATGTAGGTCTTGAACGAGTTGTAGGTCGCCGGATGTCCGTTGAGGACGTAGAGAACTATGTCTTCAGGGTTGATCTTAGTTCCTGAGGCCGCGATGTTGTCGACGATGTTCTTGACTTGGGCTAAGTATTGCTGCATCATTTGGTTCTTCATCTTAATGTGATGTAACTCGTTCTTTAGTTGCAGTACGCAAGAACGGTTGGACGACTGTAATCGGCGTTCAAGAACCGCCCAAACTTCTTGAGCTGTAGTCGAAGTGATGACGTACGGAAGGACGGCGGGAGAGATCGTCGAGAACAGAGCCGAGATAAGGTTTTTGTCGATGAGACGCCAACAGAGGGAAGCAAGAATACAAGAAGAGGGAAAAATCTATTTCAAATTATAACCGAGTATTACAGGCTTATTTATACAAAATGATATGTTACTGTGTACAGTAATCTAGAGTACACCGTAAGCATAAGCTAATCCTTTCTCTAATAGTCCACTCTGTTTGGCCCAAGTCCCCTGCTTGCACACAAATTTAACTGTTTCAAAGATTTTTATGACCATTTTTATGATTTTACTATGAATACGAGTTATTATTGAAGAACCTATGAGCACGAACTCGATAGGAAGAGTTAAAGGCGGAAGGTGGACTCCCCGCCAATGCCGCCACAGCGATAATAGTATGTGGTGTTGGCGTCCAATGGGCCGATCTCGACGTGGTGGATATTGCCGGAGGTGTAGAAGAAGAAGCGATGCGAGGTGCTTTCGCCGGAGGCTGAACTGTCATAAAGGCCTGGTGTTTTCCCGTATTCAACAAGCGAGGGAATGTTCTTGTCTTTCGTGATCCATGAAATCAGCATTTGACCTGAGCCCACTATGGAAATACGCACCTATATGTTCATCAATGCAAAAACAGAAATTTTTTTATAAAATAAGTGTTTTATTGACTATTAGATCATATTCGAACTCTTATTTTCCCCGAGTTGTTGGAAATGGATTGACAATCTAATTTAAATCTCTGAGAAAAAAAATTGAAGTTTTATAAGAGAGGATAAATTTTAGAAAGAGAGAAAATGGCACTGAATGCACCTGCTGAAGATGGGAATCGGTCTCGGAACTTTTCACAGTGAGAATTCTGCCCGGCGGTGGCCTCGTGTAGGCCGCAGCCCCGACGCCGGAGAAGACGATCACAGCAAAGCCGAATGCCAGTGGCCATGTCTGCTTCATTTTTTTCTTAAATTTTGTTGAAGGATTCTGCGAGGATATCAGAAGAAAGAGATTTATCTACCAAAGTTGTGAGCTTTTAGATCAAGAAATGAAAGTTTAATAGATCGAAGTGGATGTTATTGAAGCGTTCAAGGAATGGTTGCCGTCGAGAAACAAACAAGCAAGCCCTTTGGAGGTTCTATCACTGTCAGCGTTCTGAATCAACTCTACCGAGTCAGCCTTCCCTAAGCATGGTGGGCTTTTGCGTTCATAGTAAATTGATATCTTTTCTTGGTAGTTGAATTTACTAATACATCATACATATAAAGTAAATACCACATGAATCTTTAAGATTTTTTTTTTTTTTTGAACGGGTATCTACTGTGAGAGTTTGCCAAGAGAGGCTGGAAGGAAGAAAATGAAACAGAGACAGAGAGAGAGAGAGAAAAGTAATCCTTGCCGTAAACAGCTTAGATACAAGTGTATATATAGACTAAAGAAAGTAAAATGGTAAATATAAGTGGGAACCGGATATGTAAGAGTGAACCATATGTCACAGCCTCCCTCAAATTAATCATTTGGGGATTGAATGGTTAATTTGGAGCGAATGTGGGTAAAACGAGTGCATGAGAACGTTTTGGTAAAGATCAATAGGAGTAACGGCTAAAATTGTAAGCTCTCTAGGCTTCTTTGTAATTACTAGCTACTTACTTCCCTTTATTCTCTATATATACTCACGTACCTTTACCATTTCATAATATACAAAACATACTTTCTTTTACCTGCTCTGTCCGTATCCTTCTTCTTCTTTTCTATTCTATTATGGTATCAGAGCAAACCCGGCTCTATGGCTGATCAAGAACTGCCATTTCTCCCACCTCCGCCCCTCTCTCAACCTCCGGCGACACCTCTGCCTACACAGCACCAGCTCCTCTGAAATTTCTAATATCCAATCTAAAAACTATTGTTCCCAACTCCCAATCGTCGGACAACTATCATGTTTGGCGCATTCAAATCCTACAACATTTCTCCGCTAATGGGTTCGCCTGATTTCTCACCGGAGAGGCTTCTTGCCCTTCTGACAACTCCAGCGACGCCCTCTTCAAATGGAGTCTTATTGACAAGAATCTAATCTCGGCACTATTCTCCACTATATCCCCTGTCATTCTTCCATACGTCTTGACCGCATCCACTGCTCACGACGTATGGCAGATTCTGGAAAAGAGAATGCAATCCAATATTCGTTCTCGAGTCATCCAGCTCAAGAATGAGCTCCATAACATCAAGATGAATAACTCTACAATGTAGCAATATCTAATGCAGATCAAGAATCTGGTTGATAACATTGCTGTTTCGGGATCTCAGATCGGCACTGAGGATATTCTCATTTACATACTGAACGGGCTTCCCTCCAACTACAACTCCTTCAAGACCTCCATTCGTACGTCTCTGCATCCCATAGATCTCGATACTCTCTACTCTTTGCTATGCAGTGAAGAAAATGCACAACAGCGGGAACATCAGAAAGAGGTTGTGGCAAGCCAAGATAATCCGGCTTTCTATGTTAATCGGGCGGTTTCCAACAAAGGTAATGGCTCCAACCGAAACTTCAAGAACTGGAAATCTGACAATCGTAACACGCCGGATCCATCCTACTCCCGTTCAAATCAATCTCCCGCAAGAAATGAACGACCAACATGCCAGATCTGTGGCAAACAAGGCCACATTGCCTTGAACTGCTAGCACATGAAAAACCCCAAGTACACACCTATATCAACCAATTCGCGAGCTCTTCTTTCTCATCAGACTCCGACGTCTACTAAGGATTGGGTCCTTGACTCTGGTGCAACCAGCCATATGACATCCGATTTCAGTAATCTTCAAAACGTATCCATCTACTACGGTCCAGACACCATCTCCACCGCAAACGGAGCATCTCTCCCTATTCAGCATGCTGGTCAAGGAATTCTTCCTCTCCCGGATTCGGCTCGTAAGCTTTATTTACGTAAATTACTACATGTTTCGTTGCTTACTCACAATCTCATTTCAATTTCCACTTTAACCAAAGACAACAATGTCTCAATTTCCTTTGACGCTAACGGCTTTGTCATTAAGGATGGTCAGGATCACCGCCCTCTTCTTCGTGGTCAAATGCGTAACGGACTCTACTGCGTGCAGAACATCACCACGGCTTCTCCCGCCGCTTTTCTTGCCCGACAGCACTCCACCCGTCTCTGGCACGCAAGACTCGGTCACCCGCACACCGGGGTTCTCACCAGACTTCGACACTTGTTACCGTCTTCTGAAATTGATTCTACACCTTTTCATTGTAATTCTTGTAGTATGGGAAAATGCCATAAACTTCTGTTTAATAAAAGAACAACCGAATCTTCGCATGTCTTTCAATTAATTCACTCCGATGTTTGGGGCCCGGCTCCTATACAATCTTTAAACGGTTTTAACTACTACGTTATTTTCGTTGACGACTACTCAAAATTTACTTGGCTTTATCTTATGCATTCAAAAAATGAAACTTTTTCAAAATTTAGTCAGTTTTGCTCTCTTCTTAACAACATATTCAATGCCACACCTAAGGTTTTTCGCTCCGACGGCGGCGGTTAATTCAACAGCACTCAGTTCAAATCGTTCCTAGCTTCTCGCGGTATCATTCATCAAACCAGCTGCCCTCACACCCCCGAGCAAAATGGGCTCGCCGAACGGAAACATCGCCACCTATTAAACCTCACCCGCGCTCTTCTACATGAAGCCCATCTGCCCAAACACTTCTAGACCGAAGCTATAACAACGGCAACCTACCTAATAAATAGACTACCATCCAAAGCCATTTCCAATCTAATTCCTTACCAAATTATTCACGGTACTACTCCGACGTATGACCACCTTCGCACGTTTGGCTACCTCTGCTACCCGTGGCTCTGTCCGTATGCCTCTGACAAACTCTCACCTCGCTCTCAACCGTGTGTCTTCCTCGGCTATTCATCTCATCAAAAAGGATACACGTGTTTCAATACTAGCACCAATAAACTACAAATTTCTTGTCATGTTACATTTCAGGAACGCATCTTTCCATATCAACAATCGGCGGAGAACTCTGCTCCTTCTCCAGATGCATATGCCAAATTCATCTCCCCACTGATTCTAACGCCTACGCTCCTTACGCAACCTGCGTCTCATGCCATCCTTCGGTTGAGCCAGCCTACTCACGTCAATGACATGCCACCTCCACCCGAGTTCAACCAAATTCCTCCCACACTGTCAAATCTACCTTTGTCCTCTTCGAGACCCATTCAAACGCATCCTATGCAGACAAGGGAAAAATCTAGAATTCATAAGCCAAAGCAAATTTATGATCTATCGGCTATCACCTCAAACATGACCACTCCAACCACGTTCACTCAGGTGTCTAAAATCCCACACTGGCGGTCTGCTATGGAAGAGGAATTCGTTGCTCTTATGCGTCAAGGCACATGGTCACTCGTACCACCACCTGATAAAACTCCAATTCTCGGCTGCCGGTGGACGTTCAAAATAAAGCAACTACCAAATGGCACAATTGATCGCTACAAAGCCCGTCTGGTCACGCAAGGCTTCAATCAAACGTTTGGTGTCAATTACACCGAAACCTTCAGCCCCATCGCTAAAATGCCGACCATCCGGGTTCTTCTCGCTCTGGCTATTCAAAGACATTGGTCTATCCTTCAACTCGACATATCAAATGCTTTTCTCTACGGCAATCTCAAAGACACGGTGTACATGCGTCAACTGGCCGGCTTCATTGACATCAAACGTCCGCACCATGTATGCAAGTTACACAAATCACTCTATGGCCTTAAACAGGCACCGAGATAGTGGTTCCATAAACTCACATCTCTACTTCAACAGTTCGGGTTCAGGTTTGGTCGTTCCGACCCTTCTCTCCTTATACTTCATCAACAAAACGTTCAGTTATATTTTCTGATTTATGTTGACGATATCCTTTTAACAGGAAACGATCAATCCACGATTCAGTCCCTCATTCACTACCTCCGGTCTCACTTTGCACTCAAACAACTCGGCAATGTTTCTCTATTCCTTGGAATTCAAATCCTTAAAACTCCCTCCGGGTACCTCCTCAATCAACGTCACTATGCTCTCAAGATCCTCCAAGACGCCGGACTTCACGACTGCAGTGCAACTCCAACCCCGATTACGCCAAATCGATCCGCTCCGACCTCCGAGGATAAACCATTTGCTGATCCTCATCTCTATCGCAAGATTGCTGGAGCCCTCCAATATCTATCCATTACTCGCCCAGACATTGCATTCGCCGCAAATCGAATTTTGCCAACACATGCACGCTCCGACAGATTGTCACTTTCAGTTTCTCAAGCGACTGCTTCGGTACATCAAAGGCTCGCTCAACTACGGCTTACCGAT